CAAACCCAGTAAACCGCCAAAGGTCGACCATTAAAACAACATTATTAAATCCAACGAAAATCTCTGCAAATCCCAAACGAGAGATGAGGGTAAGTAACTCAAGCCGCGATCTCGGGTTTGTTAACCACAATTACTGGTGATTAAAAAGGCCTCTCACTGCGCAGGCCGTAAAAATTAATAGCTTGGATTTAATTCCGATGCAAATGCAATGGTATTTCTCCTAAGCCGCGTGCAACGACTTTGTCTTCAACTGCAGCTCCAGATTCACCTTCACCTTCGACTAATCCCATTCACAATAATCACAAGACAATGCCGCAGCTTCTTCAATTGAATTGCGATCGCTGCCGTGAATATTTGACAAATTGTAATGTGTGCCGGCAAGACGAGCACTTTCATTCGCAATGAGAGCACTTGATGCGCCGAGTTTCGCCAAGATCCACCAGATCCAGTCAGATCCACACATCTCTAGACAATGGATGGCGCTGACGATGGCTTTACGTGCACCAATTACACTGGCGTCTGACCGCCCGCCCGCCTTTGCCTCGATGTGCAGCGGGCTTGAAAATAAAATGCTTACTTGCCGCTAAAATAAAAGTTGCATTTCGAGTTGCAATTTGGGTTAACCGCACCGTTGTTTATGGCCGTCGCGACGTCGACGTCGTCGCTGGTGACAGGCCGCTGATCAATAGTTCCGCCTGTGGCCGGCCAGTGGTTAGGCAAATCCTTTGTCAAGTTCATTGGCATCGAAAGGAAACCCGAAATTATATGAATTCCAGGCGTGGCCGGTTGCCCAGACCGACATCCGTCTCCTGGCAGTTCATTCACCAGTCTGAGGCCGAGTCTGAGATATTTGCATATGATTATGCATACCGCAGAGGCGACAAAGTAACTAACCACTCTATAAACAATAAGCCACCAATTTTCCACCAATTACTGGCTGTGCCCCTCCTCCGGATTGCTGCATTCGGTGGCTCTTTTTGCGTTGCGATTAGGCAAACCCGGCACGTAATCAATAACGATACGTATTGGACTCGGTTAGGCATTTCACCCCATTGATTGACGGCTGGCTAACGGCACATAGTACATTGTCATTGTCATTTTCATTTTCATTTTCATTGCCGCTGCCGCTGCCGCTTCGATGGAGCTCAGCAAGTGAAATTGCCACGTCCAGTTGCTGCCTCAAATTACCTACTTCCACTTCGATCGACCAAGACCCAAGCTAGTCAAGCAAAGAGGCGCGTTACTCCTTCTTTGAATGTTTTAAATAATCAAAGATTGCATATTCTCACGGGGATGGAATAACTACGAGCTACTCTTCAGAAGGGTATATTTATTAAGAGGCCGACTCTTTCTTATTCAACTTTGACTATTAAAGGACTTTTACTATTAATAATTAGCTGAAATTAGAGCTCGCTTTTCCCTGCATATAAAACTTTTGAGTCAGTCCCAGAAAAAGCCCTGGAATTTTATAACCACTAGTCCAAAATACTCTTGAAATGCTAAATAAAAAAATTATTCTAATGAAGCTTTTAGGGTCTGCTCTCCTTAAGCAAATCTTTTAAATTTAAAACACCAATCAGACATCCCTTCAATTAGCTATCTCCCTCATATATCAGGTTTCTATTTGGTTTCAATCTTCCATAAAATCGGTTTGAAAATCTATAAAAGAAATGCGGTTAATTAAAGTGTTACAATCACAGTCACCAAACCACAATACCCCTTCGAAAACGTAAACAAACTGACGGCAACGACGACAATTACAGAACGAAGACATTTCGATATTCAACTTTTCACTTTCATTCTACGGCATTGCGGACAGAAAGTTTAATCAGGCAGCCAAGCGGGGAAAATGGGCAAAGTATTATGGCATACCCGTGTATAAATATATAGATATATACAAATATACATATATATATGTGGAAGATACTTTGTTGGCTCGTTTGCTTAAGCAGCTTTGGTTAAGTAGTCAGCGGCAGGCGACGTGATAAAATTTTAGAAAACCGCCAATTTGTTCAAATTAAGGCCATTACAGTTTTGTTGCCGTCCAGCGATTACACGACCCGCCCTCCCCCTTTCGGCGGGCTTAGAAAGTTTTATATTTTTTCGATGTGCCCGCAAAATAATTTAATTATTTTGATGGACAAACGCCTTCTTTTTTTTTATATTTTAATAATTTAATTAAAAAATAAATTGTAATGTTCATCTCCCACAGCCTTTTCTTGTGCTAGCCCTGCTTGTGGCCTTGGCCAACTGTGAGCCGCCGTTGTATGCCGACAAGCAACGTCCACTGGTCTTCACCAACTGGCCGCCCAAGAGCGCCAAGCAGCTGGGACGTCCCGCTGTCGGAGGAGGAGGACCTGGTGGCAAGCAGCGGACTTTGGTTGTTCAAATCCGCAGCGATCAGCCGGTGCCGCTGGTGCTCAAGGGTCGTCCCGGTCATAGCCCACATGCTCACACTCATGCCCATCTGGCTCATGCTCACTCTGTGCATCCTCATGTCCTGGCACAACATTCCCATTCGCATGCTCATCTCCATGCCCACCCGCTGATCCATGTGCCCCAGCATTCGATTTCGCATGCTCACCAGCTGCAGCATCTGCGTGGAGCCCGTCCCATTAAGCTGAGTGCTCCCGTCTATCTGAAACCCGCTGGAGGCCTGCGCAAGCCCCTGAAGATTAAGCTGAACAATGTCAAGCCCAAGGCGAAGCCCACTTTTGGCTACGACAAGCCCTTCAAGTACGAGAAGCCCACGGCTGTAAGCTACAGCGAGCTGCAAAATCTGCCGGTAAGTTGAGATTTTGAAGAAGATTGAGGAGAATTTTAAGAAGTAATTTGAAGGATTTATGAACTACATTTTTTTAGGGCTAAAGATAAAATAGTTTTCTGTTCAGAAATAATCTCCAAGGCGTTTTTTTTAACATTATAACATTGAAAAACAAAAGTAAAAAGCCTATTTTGAATGCTTTTTAATTGATATTTTGTTCATATTTAAAATTTTTAAAATTATAAGCCAACAATCAAAGTAACCAAATTGAAAACCACATTAAATCCAAGCCAAAAGTAACCATTACTCATAGCCAAAACATGTATTTAGTTTCACTCTGCGCACACGCTCAGTACACTGCCAGACATACAAACATATAACATGAATCCAAACATGCCGATCCCCCAACAGCTGGACACGCACAACAACTTCAACACCGAGCACTTTGCACCCATATACACGGTTCCCGCACCGAATCTGGCCCTGCACAACAACCATCTGGATGTGGAGGACGGGCATCTAGACACCAGCGCCTACCAGTACACGCCCCCATCCCAGTCCCAGTTCCCATCCTCGTCCGCTCGTCCCCAGACATATCTGCCACCGAAGTACAATGTGCATGAGGATGAGACCAATGACCAAACCATTCGCGATCCCATTTCGGGTTCGCAGAAACTCTTTGCCCCAGATCCGGATCCCTCGCTGCCCACCACTAAGATCCGGCCGTCCACCGAGACCTTCAACACGCCGAGCAACAACAAGCCGCTGCCCTCGGATGTCCAGAGCAACCATTTGCCAGCACAGCCTTTAGTGCAGATTGTGGGAGCCCAGGCGGAGGCACAGACGGCGCCACAGATCTATCCCATTCAGTATGCCCAGCCAGCGGCAGCGGCACAGCTTCAGCCCTTCCTCGCCGCCGCCATTCCGGCGGCCCACATACCCATCTACAATCCCACGTACCTGGTGACGCAGTCCAACCAGCTCTACACGCAGCACAAGCAGCAGCTCTTCAAGCCCAGCACGGAGCACGTGGTGGAGTCGGGCTACGTGAATGCTGACCTTACCCAAGAGGTGGCCAGCAACGGGCAGATTCTGCAGGCGGCCAAGGACCCCCACCACAACATCCATCCCGTTTTGGACTCAGCTCCCCAATATGCCGCCCTTATCGCTGCTCCAGCTTTGGGTGAGCCTGCGGAGAGTGCCTACGAGACGGCTGCCTTCCATCTGCCCAACACGGCTATTCAGTCCACGGCTCCCGAGGGTGGATTCGTGGTGTCCAACTACTATGGACACGCCCACGACTCCTCGCAGCTTCTACAGGCATACGCGGAGGAAGAGGCCCGCCGCCAACAGCTGGAGACAGAGCAGGCAGCCATTGAGCTGCAGAAGCAGCAGCAACTCCATCTTGAAGAGCTCAAGGTCCAGGCCCAGGAGCAGCAGCAGCAACACCAGCAGCACCTGGAGGAACTGCGTGCCCAGGCCCAGTATCAGCAGCAGCAGCAGCAACAGTTCGAGGAGCTGAAGGCCCAAGCCCAAGAGCAACATCTGCAGCAGCAACACCAGCAGCAGCAGTTGCAACTCTTACAGCTGCAGCAGCAACACCAGCAGCTCCAGCAGCCTGTGCAGCATCATCCGCAATCGGTGACCCAGGATCCATCAGCGGCGGCCTTCGAGGAGCACCAGCGGCTGGTCCAGGCGCAACTGGGCAGCAACACGCCACTGCGCATCTTTGTGCCCGACGAGGAGTCCCCTTCCGAATCGGTTAGTTTGTAATTGTTTATATTATTGTAATTTTAACAATTAAACTTTTACAGCGCCTGCAAAAACGATCGGATGAAGTGAAGAAGGGCACCGTGGAGGACGTGCCCAGCGTGGGCCTGATCGAAAGCAGCAGCGAGGCAGATTCAGCCAAAGATTTGTTTGAGGTCTCCACCTCCGTTGAAGTTGCCGGCGAGCATCTGGCGGCCAGTAGTAATTAGTTAAGGCACAAATAGTCTTCGACGCTGTTCAAAAATATTTATTTACACACTCATTTGTAAAAACGCATTCATATAGCGAGCAGTCGGTAGTTTAATAAACATAATCCTTAAATTATTCAAATTTTTATACGTTACTTTTTGAGAATATCGATAACAGGAGAAAGTATCAATTGGGGTGACCAGCACTCGCTTTTGGGCCTTTTTAGTGTGACCGTAGAGAAAGAATTTGTAATATTTTTTAACATCTAAAACGCGGTCACTCTGAGTAAAGAAAACACATTTTGGGCGAATTTGTTGTGGTCCGCGCAATTTTTGTGAATTTCTCGCTAAAAAAAGCACAAAAGACAACATGATTATCCCGATCCGTTGCTTCACCTGCGGCAAAGTCATTGGCAACAAGTGGGAGTCTTACCTGGGCCTGCTGCAGGCGGAATACACTGAGGGGTAATTCACGCCGGCCAACACTCGTGTCCGCAGAGCATTTCCTTAATTTTCCCTATATTAATTTCTATATAGAGATGCCCTGGACGCTCTGGGCCTGAAGCGCTACTGCTGTCGCCGCATGCTGCTCGGACACGTGGATCTCATCGAGAAACTGCTGAACTACGCGCCCCTCGAGAAGTGAATAGCCAAATGGGAGAAAGGACGCAGGGGACTTGGGATTAAAACCTAGATTTTATTGTAAAATTACAAATTAAAGCTTGATCATAACCAGATAACCGAGTCATAAGCCTTAGAATCTACGTTGTAACCCAAGCTGGCAGTGGTGGGCTCACATCTTGTCCATGAACCACGGCTGGCCGTTGTTCTCCCGGCGCTTCGTGAGAATCTCACAGCCCGTCTCGTTGACTAGAAGTGTCTGCTCGAACTGAGCGGAGTACAGACCGTCGGCGGTGACCGCTGTCCAGTCATCGGGCCAGGTCTCGGCCTTCTGCACGCCAATGGAGATCATGGGCTCGATGGTGAAGCAGTGACCCGGGGCCATCACACCCACAGCCGAGTTTTCTGCAAAGCAAAGACATTTAGGGGGTTCCTTTAAGGGGATATTAATGACTGGACTTACTGGCATAGTGAGGCACATTGGGAGCCGTGTGGAAAACGCGATGGATGCCGTGGCCGCAGTAGCTGCGCACCACACTGAATCCATGGGGAGCCACATACTTCTGGATCACGTTGCCGATGTCGCGGTACTTCTCTCCGGGACGCACAAACTCAATGGCCTTGCTCAGAGCCTCGTGGGTGACCTGCACCAGTTTCTTGTGCTTCTCGGACACATTGCCCACGAAGAAGGTCTCGTTGAGATCGCCGTGGAAGCCGCGATGGTACACGGTCACATCGATGTTGCACAGATCGCCATCCTGCAGCGGTCGCTGGTCCGGGATGCCGTGGCAGATTACCTCGTTCACCGAGGTGCAGCACGACTTGGGGAAGTTGTAGTAGTTGAGCGGCGACGGATAGCAGTCACGCTCAATGGCCGCCTCGTGGACCAGGCGGTCCAGTTCGTCGGTGGTGGTGCCCACCTCCACGCCCTTGGCGCCCTCATCCAGGCACTCTCTGCCCAGTCGTCCAGCCACGCGCATTCCCTCGATCTCCTCGTCGTCCAGCACCTTGATTTTGGTGCCGCGCAAGGCCTCCTCGGAGAGCGAGCGTCCGTCTGGGTGGTCGGCATAGTCCGGGCGCTGGATGGCCTCCGGCACAGCACGTTTGGGAGTCTGTTGGAAGGGACGCAGTTTGCCGGTGAAGCGGAAGTTCGGCCACGGATTGTAGACGCCATCGTCCCCCGCGGGCTTGGCACCGCCGGCTAGCAGATACAGATTGCCAGTGTCAACAGGTAAAGTTTAAGGTCGGGACACCAAGATCTCTCACCTGCCAGGGCGTGGATCGCCTTGTGCTCCTTCCAGAATCCCTTGAAGCACGGCTGCGAGCAGAAAAAGGAGCCCTTGATGCCCAGCTTCAGGCAGGTGGGGCACTGGAGGGTCGCATCCTTGCCGCAGCCGGTGGTCTCGCACTTTTGAGTCATTCTTACATAGGATCAGAAAAATGAAAGAACAGAAATTTTCTTGCCAAAAATAACTAGGATGGAAATCAGTGTGCCTGTGCATCAACGGAACGATAATGCTAATGAAATCGAAAGAATACTAAGCAGCTGGTCACACTTAACAAGAGCGGGAGTTTTTGAAATAGATATTTACTGAAAAGAAAGTTTATTTAATTAATAAGATAAACTCTATATGTTTTTGATATTTTTATTTAAAATTTGACTTATAATATAAGTTGAAAGACCTACATTTTAGTTTATAAATATAAATTTTAAAATCGTCAAAATATCTTAAGTCTTTGAAAAAGGAAAGGCTGATATATCGTACCCCGATCCCATCCCCGCCTAAAGGATCTCTAGTCTCTGTTTGATGTGTTTGCAGTTCAAACACTGCAGCCTGTTGGGCGCTCTGCCCGCAGCCTCGCAGCTGTTCCCTGCCCGGCGCATGCTCTCGCCGGGAACCCGAATCTCGAGTGTCTGTGATTATCTGCTCTGTTTTGGTTCTCAAAACGCGAGCAACTTCGGTCGTGAACGGACGTACTTTCGCAGTGGAAAATCGGTAGCGGCAGCGCGAAACGAAAGAATATTGGCAACAAACTTGTTTGAATCAAATGGCCAAACACAAATATCAACAAGGGGCAAAAGGATAAATCTATAGCTGCCTGAAGTGAGTGTTGTATCTTGGTATTTTGCGTGAGATACTTGTATTAGTATCTGCAAAGGATTCCGATTGGCTTTAAATGGTGTGTGAAAAATTCGGCTTAATCAACAAGTGAATTTGGGGGTTCGCGGTTCTCCTTGTAGTTGTTTTGTCACGCTAATCACTCGCCTTAATTGTGATCTTCGCACTCGATTTTAATTCGATTATGATCGCTATATGCATTCAACGTGTGTTATCAGTGGCTGACGCTTCGCTCTGGTCTTTGTTTTTGCGTTATTATTAATTCCTCTGGTGTTGTGTCTCTCGCTCGGCGACAATAAATATAAACACGCTGTTGTGGCATACGATGTACACGGAACTAAAATAATATTACTTGTTTTTGTAGCATTTTCCGTTAGCACAAAGACACCAAAAAGTGATAAATTATTTGGAGATAAGAGATTCATTTTGTATCTAACAGATGCAACGTTGTTTGTTTTTTGGATTATTTGGACTGCAATCTTTTTTTAAATTTTATTAAAAGGTTAAACAAATAATATGACTTATTATAGGATTTCTCGTTAAAGTAAAGCCACAAAAAAGTAATTTGGAGATAAGAGATTCATTTTGTATCTCACAGATGCAACGTTGTTTGTTTGTGTTTTGGATTATTTGGACTGCAATCTTGTAACTTCATTTGAATAAAAGGTTAAACAAAATAACTAATTACTGTTTCGAACTTTGTTTTAACAATTTTATATGAAAATACTCAAGAATATAATTTGAAATTAATTTTAGTTTAAAAATTAATGCATTTGTAATGTTTATTTGTGTTTAAAATTTTATATTAAAGTGTCTTTAAACATTTAAAAACCCATTAAAACAGCTTCAAATGAAGTTTTCTTTGCTTTAAATAGTTTTACCCATTTAATCCCAATTATTTTTTCGCTCTGTGTGGATGCTGCTGTTGCTGATAGAAGCGCAGCATCGTTCAATGGCTATAAATAAAAAACGGCACGCGGCCGATGCCGCCTACAGCTGCCGCTACCTCCGTGTGTGTGCACCGTCTCTGTGCCCCTCACCCGAGTCCGCTCCTGGTTTACAGTACCACCAGCATCGCTGGATTTGTGGGTGTTTTGCGTCTTACACTCTCACTAGCATCATCTCCGCCGTGCGGTTTCCACTTTTCCGCTTTTCAAAAAACAAAAACAAAAAAACAGACAACGCAACGCAGATCTCGTCAATTGCCAATCTAAAGGCCGCCGGCATAATTAAAATAGAATTTTTTCTGATTTCGCTTTGTGTCGTCGTATCTGTGTTTTTGCAATACGGAACAAACAAGAGTCAAGGTGCCCACAACACAACACAAAACACAAAAAAAAAAAAGCCGCGAAATAGAGGCGGGCGCGGATTCCTCCTGGTAGCAACGAACTCGATCTCGCGGGACGAAGACCGGGGACTCAATCCCATCGTCGTCATCCGGCTGGCCATTGGTATTTCACCTTAAAATTCACATTCTAAAGAGTGAATACTCTTATATTTGAATTATTTCAAGGGTTAAAAATATTTGAAGGCTTTTGTATAATGTAAAAATATAGTTTTTCAATTCAATTTTCATTTTTCAAAAATTTTGTAAGGTGTTAAATTGTCTACAAATTTACAAAAACTTTAATTCTTTAAATTTAAAACTCCATGTGCTGATTTATTAATTAACCCAATGAAAACTAGGATAGTAGAAAAATGTTTCGATTTTAAATAAATACATTTTCTCTTGATCCAGTTCCACACTTTAAGGTTCTTTAATCTTTAACTTCCCAAAGTTCACATCCTCTTTTATTTAAAAATTGAATTCTTCTGTGAAACCCCATATTTATTTCATTTTTATTAGTTCACTGTATCAAGCGGTTTATTGTTTCTGCTTTATGGCCATCCTTTGGTCCCTTCTTTGTTTCTTCTTCTTGTTTTGGCGAACGATCCTCGTTCTTGGCAATTAAAGGTGAGCGCCGACGGGTCCAAAGCCGACCAAAAGGGACCAAAGTCAGGCATTAGCCTTAATTGGCTCTGGTTGCGTATTGCGGAATGTCGTCTCCAGCTACTTCTCAGCCCAGAACGTAGAACTCAGAACTTTTTCATATGCCGCGCGTTTTGTCTGGCATCTTGCTGGGATGCTGGATGAAATTTATGCGCGGAGAAAGGGGGCAAAATGAAATGGAAAATATGAAATTCGGAGGGTAAGACGCTCCAACACTTCCGCTTGCCAGAATATCAACTTCCGGCGGGCGAACAATTGTCAGTGAGTGTGGGTGGTGGGTGCTAAGAGTGGGCAGTTGGCGGAGCACAAAAGACGCATATTGATATTGTTGCCCAGGTTGCTCACGCTCCAATAAGCAAGCCCACACACAAACCCACTGGCACACACACAGACACACACAGAAGGACAAAAAGACCTTCGCAGCTAGAAACGCATTTCGACTTCGCCTCAGTGAGTCCTGGCCCTTGTCTGGCAAACATTTTGTGGCAACTTGGCCATTAAGCATTTCGTGTTTAAGCAGCCGGATCTTCATCATCACCCCCAGCTCCTTCCCCTCCGATTCCGTTGCTGTGCAAAAGGACAGGGAATAAAAATTGCCCGCGTATGCATTTCTTAACAATATTTCTCTCGTCCTGGACACTTTCTCCCCAGCGACAACATTTCATTTCATATTTTTTGTGGCAGCAGCAGCAGCAGCGCTTTGAATAGAATTCATTTGGAGTCCTCCAATGTCGTTCCCAGGACTCCTCCCGTCCATAGTCCTGTCGTACTTCCTTTTTGGTCTCAGCTTCCAGCTTCGCCGGTTCCCAGCTCCCCCCCCCGCTTTCCTCGACACACGCACTTCAGTCTGATAGCGCGTGCTTAACAAATTTCTGCTATATTTTCGGTTCATTTTTTTTTTTTTTGCCATGGCAATGGGAATTTTTCCGCATTTTTTGCTGTCACAGCAGGGCCAAAAATTAAAAGCGAATTAAGTTTGAAGAGGGAGTAGCTCCAAGCTCCAGGGAATAGCCGCAAGCGAAGACAACTGCAGTGAGCGAGGGATAAACTGAAGGTATTAAACCCCAAATTTACCTGCCGACCAAGCAAAGCAACGGCAGCAAATCTGCCAACAAGATTTGAATTATTTTATGGATATTAGAAAGTGTCCTGTATCTGCTTTAACAGCTGCGAGCCTGCAGGGTGTGCAGGTCCTTGTGGGGGAATGGTCTTAGGTGCACGGTGAGAAATATCTTATATTTATGATTAGGGTAATAGAAAATAATAATAAAATATTTCAAGGGATAAGGTTAGTCGGGATGTTAATGTATAATCCATAAGAGCAAGGTGATGTGTATTTTTTATGCCAAAACTCAACATATAAATAAAAGTCGGTGTAGCTTACCTTTTCCCCAGTGGATTTCCTTTCTCAAATTTTGTTCTATTATTTTTCTATGTGTGTGGGCGTTACAGCTGACGCCAGTCTGCTAACAAGCAGACGTCGCATCCACATCTTCAGGTCCTCGAAACCACCATCCTCCTGCCCCCGCCACGAACGATGGAGCATGCCGCCACCCCAGCAGCCAAACTCCACGAGTTATTTCTCATGTATTTTTACTTCATCTTTTGCCACGCCTGGCAATGCTTTCAATTTTTTTGCCCCCCGAACCATGCTCCCGGTTTTCCCCCAATTTCGGTTGCTATAAAGCAAAGTTAATGATATGTCGCAAGTGTTTGTTTGTCTGCCGGCACGCGGGTGAGTGGCTCCACTTCCACTTGGCTGGATACTGTCATGCCCGTGGATACCCCACGGTATGGTCTCCTGCCCCTCCTCCGAAATGTGTAATTAATTAAGGACTAAGCAGATTTTATATTTCACTTACTTGGCCGGAGCTCCCAGACTAATTTATGTGTAATTCCACTTTTTGTCATATTTCTTCGTGTAATTATTATCCCCGCCGTGCTTTGTCGGCAAAAGATAACTTAATTGGGAGTTGGGAACTTGCAGGGTGTTGCTCCTAATCCGGAACATGGAGGGAAGTTCCCTCCATTCAGCTCCGATGCAATTCAATGGCTTCGATTTGCCTTGGCCGTGGTTTTGGCACTTTGTACTTTTCCAAACTTGGCCGCAAATTTTTCATTTTCCCAGAGCCTTTTCTCTCTCTCCCAGATCGTTTACAATTTTACATGCCAGAAGTTAAGTCGCCAATCCCCGCAAAGTATCCTTCGTCTCCTCCGGTCGTATATTCTCAACGGGTGGCGGCTTCAGCTTCCACGGAAATTTGTACAACGGTTGCCCGGACTGCCTCTGCCGTGGCGTCACTTTTATTTGCCAAATTAAAAGGATTTCACTCGCTTTTCATATTTGCATTGGGGCTGTTTTACGTTTTATTCTTTTCATATTTTATCGCCATCCTGGCAGCCATCCAGGGGGGGTCTTCAGTTCCGACATGGGCCTCCGTCTCCGTCTCCATCTCCGACCGCCGACTGCCAACAATTTTCCCACGCAATCACCATAAAAAGAAATCTTTGCCGCCATATTTTTGCAGCCTCCGTGCCGTCGCTCTCCGGCAATTGTTATTCATGACCCGAAACAACAGGGCAACCGGGGCAACCCAGGGCATCCGGAGGGGCAGTCGAGGGCTTCCTGGGCATCCTGTTCATGAGGTGAGGATGCAAAAGGTGCGCATCCCGACGCTCCAATGGGCCATGTCGGCCCCAATTCCCTGGCCACAATCCACAGGCCGCTCGTCATTCGTCGTTGTTAGTATTAATTATTTCTTAACTTTGGTGCCGCTCCTCCCAGGCAAGTTTATAAATAAATCGCAGATTCTTTATGAACCGAAACCGAACCTGAACCAGAACCGTCTCCGTGTCCAGTGGCTCCTAGCTGGCCCAGTGGTTATTTGCATCGCCCTTTCCTGGGGCTCTTGGGGTTCTGTTGCTGCTGCAGCAGATTATGACCAGGCGGGGGTGGCTGTCAGTCTGCGGGGTGTTTTATGGCTGAACTTTATTTACATTCACATGCCAAGCAGGGCCGAGCCAAGCCGAGCTGCTAAATAATCAGGACTCGCCCTCCCACTCATTTCGTTTGTGCTACAGTTGCAGGAAACCAGCCGGAGGAGGACTGGTTTTGGCCATGGCCCCGACCCGGCTCTGATCCGGCGTACAAGGGCCACAGGTGCCAGGCAGCCAAGTTTAATTATTTGCCGTTGGCTTTGCCTGCTCTCCGGCTCGTTCGTATCTGTATCTGTGTCCGGGTCCGTGTCCAGGCCCCTGGCCTCGATCCTGACTGGCTATCTGTCGCTCTGCTTGTTTGCCTTGTTTGTTGTTAGTTCAGCCGCCTGGCTGCATTTTGCGCTTGTAAAGCATTTTAAATCGCATAAAAGTCGGCCGCAGCGGACTCGAGTTGAGAGACCAAACTGTGGACTTCCTCCCGGACTGCAGATGCCCGATTCATTATGCCATTTCGGCCATCCAAGCAGCAGCCTTTGCGTCGGTAATTGAAATTAAGTTGTTTCCAAATTGAGGCATGGTCGAGAGGCTGTTCTCCCATTGCTCCCCCACTTGTTAGGCAAGTCAGGGCCACGGCTGCGTCCTGAATTTCGATGCGATGTCCTTGCGAAAATGCGCCAAAGAACTCCGGAACTCGTCGTTGCATCCACAGTCACGATGTTATATTTCAATCCTGCCATCCTGCCATTTAGAGGGCTCTCTTTCAGAGCCATTCGAGAGCCATTTCAATTCATATCGAGTCAAAGATAGTTGGCAACTGCAAATGCCAACTGTCAAAGGGAGGGAAAATCAAAATTAGGCAAACAAAGAGCTGCGCTGTCCTGTCAGGATTTGCTCTTGTAAAACACTAAAACGACAAAGACATAGATGGGCGTCCCAAGTCCTGGTCACACCCACAGCCCACTTCCACTTGCCACTGCCACTTGGCACTTCCGGAAAGCGAACAAATCAGAGACAGGGATATGGAGACGCCCCCGCTGGAAAACAAGAATTCCCCAGCCACTTGACGCTTGTCATTGTCAGCTCCTGTAGTTGGAAAGTTGCTGGCGCACTTGACAAGCCTGATTGATGGCCTCCACTCTAGGAGGAGCCTCTCTGCCGCAGCAGGATCTGCTGGCTGACGCGCTTATCTCATCTAATTAAACTAAAAGTAAATGGCGCGTGCCATTTGAAAATGACATCTTAAAGCTTTCGAATGCGAATCGAAGGCGCATCAAGAGTCGCTGGTTCCAAAGAGCACTCTCGCTAATAGCCGCCCCAAAATGACAGCCCCATTTGTTTTGCACCTACTTATTACGTAGCCAGAGCAGGAGGAGCCTTCGATTTGGGATTTGTTTACGCCAGATTTGACCCAGACCCAGAAGTCATAACTCTGAAGCACCGCTGATTTGCTATATTTGCTATTTCTGTTCATGTGGGTGCGATAAGCGCCGTGTTCTCCGCAGAATGGATGCACGGATGGATGGATGAATGGTGGATGAGGATGAGGGGAAGGCTCTGGGCTCTGCATAAATTCCATAATGAGCAAAGTGGCTCAATGGAAGTGTGGGGCTGGGCTGGTAACTTTTGCTCCAGCCAATTAACATACTTTTCAACGATTTTCAATTTGCTGCCAGAGACGTGGCAACAAAGGAGAAAAAATCAGGGGAAAGGAGGTGAAGAAGGTGGGGCAGGTCCTTGAAATATTACTCGTACATTTCAAGTAACTTCTCGCTCGTCCTTTCGCCCAGTGCTTATTTAGTTTGGAATTTATCAATTGAATTTTTAATTTCGCTTAAATGAGAAGGCAGAGCAGCGGCAGGAGCGGCGTCATCATCATCATTCGCGTCTTTCTCCTCGTCTTCCGACGTCCCATGCGGCGTATACGTAATTATGCGAGCGAGGATTATGGAAATGGCTGCCAATGCGGCTGCTTCTTTTACACGATAAATAATAAGTATTTACTTTGATTGGGGGAGTATTTTACAGGCTTACAGGAGGGGTTTTAATTAAACACACCTGAATAAAATATAATAAATAGAAAATTATAAAAATAAACGAAGAAAACTTATTTTTCTATGATTACTAAAATACAAATTAGTTTAAATAATATTTTGGAAAGTTTAAAAAACACTTTTATTATAATTTTGTTTGTAAAAACAACCAGAATTGCAGAATTGTTAACTTAAAAATTAAATAGAATATTTTGCTTTTTTGGCACAGTTATGAAATTTTGATTTTGTTTTTTTTTTAATTATTATTCTCCAAGTGCTAAAACCATTTTCCCTGTGTATCCCTTTGTCCCCTTCAACACCTCCTGCTGCTGATCCTGTGCAAAGGGAAATTAAATGAAATGAAATTAAGAAAATATGTTGCACTCCCGTTGGCTTTGCCATTCGCCTCGCAACTGTTTTGTTTGGCTGCGAAAAGTTGTGCCAGAGGAGGGTTGGCCCCTGGAATTGTCTGTGTGCTGTTGGTGTTTGGCTTTATTTGCTAGTTGCCTGCTTTGCTTGAATTGCCAACGCACCGCACAAAAGGCAACTTAATTTGCCATAAAAAGCCAGCCGAGTCGTTGATTTGTTCTGTGTACGGGAGTGTGTGTGCGATTGTGGGGGCCGGAAATGAAATGATTTAATGAAATTGCCACAATTGCTGGGTAAAATCAGTTGCAGGAGTAGCAGCAGGAACACGGCCTGATGGCAATGGCTTTGGCCAAACATTCAAGTTAATTGAAAAGGTTTTGTGAATTGCCTGGGTTTCTCCTCGGCCGGGACTAAGCGATTTTTAATTACCTGTTATTGTGCATAGTCCAAGGTGGCCGTGGCTGTTCCTGTTTCTCTGTGCCTTTGCTTGATCCTGTGCCCCGTCCGCCCGCCTCCTTTGACTCGCTTAGAATTAATTGAGTGCTAAGTTGATGGCTGGCATTTACCTGTCCCGCTTTTGGCCCAGGTGCCTTACCTTACTTTACTGCCTGCCTGTCCATTTCCATTTAATCGACTTTCCTGCACCGCCCGCCCATCTGTTGGCTGTTTGGGTTTCGCTTAGATTTTACACCTCCTTTGTTTTTAGTGCAGCAAGCCAGCTTCCAGCTACCAGCTACCAGAGTTTTTATGATGGCCCCAGGGCCCAGATGTGAACACAAACACCCCGAAGACGACGGCTGAGGCAGGAATAATAGAGCCTGAGAGCTTGGCGAGGTGTTTCCTTGTTAAATCGTTGAAATATTTCTGGTTTGGAGCTGTGAATTATAAATTCTAAGCCTAATTTTGTATGCAAAATAAGGAAAATACTGTTGAAATACTATTATTCTGACCGCAGCTGTGGCTGCACAGATATGCAAATAGAGCGACGGGTGCTCTGGCTGCCCCTCGAAGATATTTTGTACAAGCATCTCAATCTTGATGAGCACATCCCCCAGTATTTGGGCTGCATAATTTGTCCTGCATCGATTGCAGCTGGGACTCAGCTTGGAATTAGCAGATGAATCCGTTTCCAGCCGCTCTGCATGCAAATTTTCCAGCTTCCACGGCTGTATCTCGGATTGAAAATGCATAAGTAAAACAAATGGGAATGGTAATGTGGCATTCCAGGCTTTTGATCTGCATTTGATACATTTAAATCCCCATTTCAGCGTTGTGTTTGTAAAAGTTCGCCGTTTATTTCCACTACAGGAAAAAAAAAAGGAAAGAAATTATTTCTGTGACGGTAAACAACAAAATCAACACAAAATACACAGCTTAATCGCTGGAAATGGTGTGTCATTCCGAGGCACAAAGGGTTATCTGCGGTTCAAAGGGCTTGGGAACACAGACCCAAAGACCCACAAGGGAAGGCTATATAACATTAAATTAAATACAAACAAAATCACAGATGTTTCCAGGAATATATAATATATAAAGCATCATTAACTTTTGCTAATTAATCAAATTTGGTGACTGTAATATAAATCTTTAAGGATTTACTAATAAGCAAGCGATTTAATTAGATTTTTAAAATAATTGTTCAATAGAGGAGTCCACTGCTACAATGTTTTATATATTTTCAACAATAGCAACAATCTATAGAAGTATGTATGTCACCACAAGGTAAAAATAAAACCCTAAGAATCTAAGAAGATCTTTTCCAGTGAATTTTCACGACTTTCTCAACCCAACTCGTAGTTGGCAAATACTATATTTCATGGTCAGAAAAACAAAACAAAACATAACCAGAGCCGAGCTCTATCAACGACACAAAGACAAAGGGTTATCAGTGTGCTTCGGTGAGCTTGAGAATGGAAACCGCACGAACTGCTGCCGGTCGAGTAAATAGAAACAGTTCCACCGTGTCTGGTGCGAACCTGAATGAAGCCGCTTCCCAACAGCAAGCGACATTCCACAATCTAATCACTGCTATTGCGTTTTTGCTCAACCAACACACTATATACCCCACTCTCTCAATCTGCTCATTTCCATTGCAGGCCCGGCACGTGCTAAGCGAAAATGCTGAAATAATACAACACTAAGTGTAAACTGATAGGCACACCACTGCAGCACAGCATCCGAACGAGCCACTGGTCACGCAGCGGGGCAAGCAACAAAAACCCGTTGGCAAACAAAAAAAGAAGCGAAATAAGATCACCAGAAGCCAGTCCGAACGAATAGGAAACCACTACGATGCGTAGGCGGCGTGGCACGCCCATGGGCGTCAGCTGCACCAACTGCGCCCTCCTCCTGGCCACCGGTCTGCTGGTGGTGCTCATCTCGGTGCATGCCAAAAGCCCGCGGCCAAACGGAGGCCACTCAGCATCCGAGGATCTGATGGCTGTTAAAGAGGGAGAAGACGAGCACCAGGTATCCAGGGAGACCGATGTGGAGGTGGAACGGCAACGGGAGCGGGAGCATCACCACCACCGTCGACAGTTCGATGCATATCTGGGCACGATACGGCGACTCCGACGGCCCTACCGCAGCAAATACACCATTGAGCAGCTGATGCGCCTGCATGTGACACCAAAGGTATCCGGAGACATTGACATGGATCCCTGCAAAGCCGGTGAGTACGGGTGCACATACATGGCATGGGTCACGGAAATGGCTTCGCATTTGCCTTGCCTTCGCGTTGATTCAACTCCGTTCTAAGCCAATCTCTAAAACAGGGATCTATATATTTACACAGAGGGAAAATTTGGTGGCAGGGGAATATATTTAAAAATTTTTAGTCATTGAATAATTAATAAATTTATTTTAAGGTCTTTCCTTATAGTTAAAGTTCATAAAACTAATTTCTTTAAACTCTGGAGATCAAGTTTTAGATTTGTAGAATCAAATAGCCTTAAATTAGAATGGGTTTCAACTATGAACTGACTTTGTTTAAGCTAATAAATCTGCATTCATTTTTGTAAATTTTTGACAATTTGCAAACTTTTTACTGAAATAATAATACTCTGCTAAGGTAATAATAAGATGGAAGAAAGACTGACAAATATCTTGGATAAAAAAGGTTACAATCTTCTTAACCAAATTACCTAGATTTACCCATTTAAAGTGACAAATTTCTTCGAGTGCATATCTATATGAGATTTTCTGATGTACCTCTGCTAAGTCGTGGCAAGACAAAAGCTTTTCGAAATTGTGTTAGCCTGCTAGTTTGAGTAAAAGCGAAAAGTCTTGTTAACTCGAGACGCACACACGTGGAATCGGCTCAGACGCCGCCCCCTCTTGACATTATTTATGGGCATCCACCAAATCCACCCTCCACCCACCCACCAACCCAACGCTAACCCCAACCCCCCCAGAGCATCACATCAGCCCACAAACCCCTGTCAGCCGCTTGTTGCAGCGTTGAAAATTAAGCGCTATTGTGGCATGCTGAAGCTGAGCTCCATCTTCGTCCTCGTCCTTTATCAGACACCCGCTTCCCGGTTCGATTCAATTGAATTTACCTTAGTTTGCAACAGCAACAACAAAAAGAGAAGGGAAAATAATACAAAAAGCAAGAGGAAAAATATAAGGAAATTGACTGTGCGAGAGAACGGCGACTGGCAATGCGTCGAGGACGTATCAATGGCTTCGCATCCAAGGCTCCGGGCTCCAGTCGAAGTCTGAGTTTGTGTCTGCCACGGGCAGAGGAGCACCGACTTGGATTGCAATTTGTCTGAAGGAAGGCAAGTTTATCTGCGGGTCTATCTATAAGTATATAAGTATTTGCTCACATCAATTGTCAAAAAGTTGTACTCCTACCAGAGCCACCCAAGGACAGGCAGGAGGAGGACTCTTCTCTCCTAAAGAATGCGTATATTGAGGAGCAAACGACTTCCGCCCATTTCCAACTATCATTGCCAAAGTGTCGTCAAGTGTTTGGCAATACGAGTGATTCTGCATGAATATTCACACATGCACACATGCAACATAAATAAACAATTGCAACTCTGAAAGGGGGAAGTCAATAAAATCAATAAATCTTGTCCGGCTTACTTAGCATAAAAGCCACATAAATTTACATTGTTTAATTTATTCGAGTTTTAATTTGGTAAATAAATCACCCATATAAAATTTTACTCATGACGTTTTTTAGGAGTTGTTTCTGTCTTTTAATCAATATCAGGATATACATAACATATGCGTTCTATTTAATGAGAGGATTATGAAGAAGCCTTGGTAACCATGTTTAAAAAATATATTTATACCAGGAAAAAATCTGTGAAAGGGTGTATTTTTTTAGACATTTTTATATGTACATGAATAGTAGGCTTATTTGATTATTTTTTAATGATTTTTGCCTGAAGGAATACAATTTAGTTTGTAAACAAACACTGGTTTTAATTACTTATTTTTCCTCAATAAATTAAATCTAAACTTACAAAAGAATTGCTTAGGGCTAATTAATTTTGTTAAAAAAATATATTTATACCCGGGAAAAATCTGTAGAAGAGTGTATTTTGTTTAGCATTTTTGTACCTAGTGGTACAAAGTGGTTTTATTTTGTTATTTTTTAAGGATTTCCATTTCAACGCCTGAAGGAATGCAATATAGTTTGCAACCAAACAATGGGTACTTAGTATCTTTTAACTCTCATTTCTTCAATAAATTAAATCTAGGCTCAATGATTTATATCATACAAAAGAATTGCTTAAGGCTAATGATGAAAGCCTTAACTTGGACTTAATTAATTAATTTGAGGTTTGTGATAAGTGACATGGAAGTGGCAGGGGTGGCTTTCAATGGCCATATATCCCGTACTTAACCATTTCTTATGCCTCTCCGGTATCAGCAGACTCCAGTCCTGCCTGCCTGAGGGTCGTCGCTGCCGTTCCGATTGAAAGATAAGTCACAACCCCGCATATATCACCCATCTGCATGCGTGCCCGAGAGCTCGGCCCGTGAGAAGGGATTTCCCCAAACTCTGAACTCTCTTCTCTCTCCGTAATTTCGCAATCAATCATGACCGCCTCGGGGTCTATTTACTCTTATTTTCCACTCGCGTTCGCACTGGACAATTAATGAATTGTTTGCCCAGCAAAAAACTGGGTCAAACCGAATCGGAACTCCGAATGAATGGCAACCTAATATATGCAAATGCACGCAACATGCTCTGTGCCCCGTGGGCACATTCAATCGGGAGAAAATAAACAATTTTTCCTTCGGTTTTTCTACGCAGAGAGCAACCTAATTGAATTTCTGAGTGAGATCAAATTTACGGCCAACCGGCTGGTGGGGGAAGCTAATCAACTTTCAATTGAAGTTTTGGGGCGCAATTTGAAACGAAACTCGAAAATTTAATTTGCTGAAAATGTGCGGAATCCCCAGAGTCCAGGGGCATGCATCAAACAATTTTCCGAAAATACTCGTAACTCGTACTCGTAACTAGCAACTGCAGTTCAGTGCTCAAAAGTTAATTAAGGTCTTGGCTCCCATAAGTATGCAGCACACAGTAGAGCGTTTAGCAGTGGAGATTCGTGGAGCTCGTGTCATAATGCGTACGTTGCAAACACTTTAAGCAATTTGCAGCCCCACAAAGGGACTGTCTGTGAGGGGAGTCGGAGGGGGTCTTACTTTGTGCTCGCTAATTAATTTGCATACTCCAAAGGCCAAAGCACAAAACTTCCATCAAGGCAGCAGCAGGAGCAGCAGCAACAATGGTTAAGGCGTGACTGCGGCTGAACACGAGAAATCAAACCGCAAATGGCACTGCAAATGGTAATGGTGCACCCAACCAGACAAGACCAGATCGCAGCCAAGTTGGCGACAGTAATGATGACAACAGCATCACAATAACAACCGCAAAGCCGGAGCGACCAAAATGTCAGTATTCGGCGAAGTCGGAGGCGCGATGGCTTCAAGTGGCCTGGAAGGCGGTGCTTCCACTAGTCCTCCCTCCTTGCAAACTCAAACAACCTGCCCAAGTGACTGCAAATAATTCACCCCCATTTCTATCCAAAGAGCACATACACTCTGATGTGCGGGGAAGCTCCATTCATACTGGCACACAGAGGGAAACTTCTTCTACAAAGTGATTTCGCTCACATGATTTTTGGAATTTTTAAAGCCTAAAACAATTTGGTTAACCAAAATTATTTTCTATAATTCAAATACCTCTTTCTTTCGCTCAGTGCTTTCACATTCACATTGATAGAGCTCTTGCAAAATGGCAGAATGGCATAGTGGCAACAAACTAACGCCGCGCCGCCTTGCATTGCCGCTAACTCTCTCACGCTTTCCGAATAAAAAAGGCACTTGGAAGGCATTGCTTGCATAGCAGCAGGATGCGGGGTCCTGGGCTAGAGATGGAAGCCTGGAGTCGTGTTTCCTTAACAAGTTGCACTAAAATCGAGGAATAAAACCAGGCAGTAGATGGGAAATACGGAAGGTGTAAAGGTAAATAGTACATAGAGTGCACTGTAAGGAAAGGGTATTAAAAGGATTAATTAAATTTAATATTTCCTTAATAGTATAATTGAGACTGCCAGATTGTGGGTTAATCAGAAAGTTAAATAAATACCTCTACAATAAGTCTTATTACTTTTATATTTCAACTAGTTTTAAGTACTTTTTTTCGTTCTGTCAGTGCATCCTCATATCCTGCTCAAAATCCCCAGACTTGATACCTTCATAGCTGCTTAGTGGACGCCTGCAGGCTTTCAGCGCTTTCAAAAAGTCCATCGCTAAGCCAGAGCCGGTGCCTGATGCCAGAAACTATTTACAATTCGCACTTTTAGCGGCATTGTGTGCAGACGGATTGAGTTAGTTTGTTGCTGTTTCGAGGGGCGGCTTGGATGGCCGAGGGGTTGAGATTGTTGGGATGCTCACCGCAAAACAGCCAACAGGATCAGCTTACAAAGCCGCAGAACCGACGGCGGACGAGGGGGGTTAACAAACTTTTTGGGCAATGGAACTTTGTATGCCCTTAATTAAAAACCGCATCTATTTAATGCTTAACTTCGTTTCAACCATATAAATATACACAAGCATATAGTACGTTAAATGAATTTCAAACAAATAGCTTTTGCTTTCGCTTATGCAAATTAATTAAATAATGCAAATACAAAGAACAGACAATAAATTTACGCACAAAACATTCCATGACAGCCATCCATTGATGGGCCCGATGACAGATTCGGCGTGCTTTTGACTATGACTATCAGAGGATTTCAAAAGCGAATCTTCTGAAGCAAACAGAAGCGACATGGGGTTGACGGGGCAAAGAAAATGCAGTTGCGGAAATGTTGGAAAATCGGAAGTGAATTCAGTTGATTCAGGGGGAGCTTTCACTGCAACACCAGTCAGCCCGCAGCGCTCAAAAAGGATGAATTGCCTGCCGGAGGGGGCTTTTCTGGCTATTGAATACATTTTCTGACACTCCAGCAACGATTTTCCATACCAGAATACACTCGGAAAATTTTTAAGAGTGTATAAATTAACGGAGAACTTTTAAGAGGGGAGAGGAGATTTAGATTATCTGCTAGTGTTGTTGAAATATCCAGGTTCTCCATTATAATTGTTATATTTAAGTTTTGAAATGTGTAGTAATTTATGGTAATATACCCTCACAGTTAG